AATTTTTTTTCTCCTTTAGAAAATATGGTTAAGGGCAAAGAAAAGTCTATTACGTCATTGCGGAGGGACCCTTCTTGGAAATGAAGTGTACAAGTTGACATAGGCAGATGTGAGAAGACTTATGTGTATTTGAAATGCAATTTTTGCATGAAAGTGATGAAGGGTGGAGTAACCCGCATGAAGGAACACTTATCATGCTCTCATAAGAACGTAGCACCGTGTGCAAATGTGCCGGACAAGGTGAAGGATGAAATTATTGCTTACATAAAGAAAAGTACCACGGCAAAACACTTACAACATGAGCAATTTGATGAAAGGGTCGAACATGGTGCTTACTTCGGAAGCGGGAGTGGAAAGGGCTCTTCCTCCACTATACATAATAGAGGTGCACGGGGTCCGATGGACCAGTATATGACTAATCAAGGAGAGGATAGAGGACAAACAGAGATGATGCCTTCGGTTGGTACCAGAGAGGATCGACGCCAGGTTTGCAAGGATATTGACAGATTTTTTTTATGAGAATGCCATACCATTTAATGTTGCAACATCGCCAGCCTACTTCAATATGTTGCGATCTGTAGGGTTGTATGGGAAAGGGTTGAAGGTGCCTTCCATTTACGAGTTGCGAACATGGATTTTGAAGGAGCTGCAGAACACAGAGCGGAGCATTGATGAGATTAAACGGACATGGATTGAGACTGGTGTTACCATTATGTCAGATGGATGGTCTGACATGAAAAGCAGGAACTTGATTAACATCCTTGTCAACAACCCCTACAGCACGGTGTTTTTACGATCAGTTGAAGCTTCAAATGAGGTTAAAAATGCTGCATTCATTTTCAATTTACTAGATAGGGTTATTAAGGAGATTGGGGAGTAATTGGTTGTTCAGGTGGTGACTGACAATGCCAGTGCATACAAAGCAGCTGGTCAGATGTTGATGGAGAAGAGGAAACACCTATATTGGACCCCCTATGCAGCACATTGTATCGATCTCATATTGGAAGAACTTAGTGATTTACCTCAGCACAATAGCGCTCTTTCTAGGGCGGAGAAGATCACGATGTTCATCTACAGCCACTCAGGGGTCTTAGCCTTAACGAGAAAGTTTTCAAAGAAGAAAATCATTCGCCCTGCAACCACTAGGTATGTTATTACATTTGTGCACTGCAAATCATTATCAAGTCTTAATGCAAGTTTATTCTACAGGTTTGTCACATCTTATTTGACACTGCAGAGCCTGTTGGATGTGAGACAACCTCTGGAAGCAATGTTTACATCAATAGAATGGCTTAACTCTGCGGGGGGAAAGAAAAGTGAAGGGAAGGAAATAAGAAAGATAATTTTAAATTATAAATTTTGGGCTACTGTGACCTATGCCATATTGAGCACGAGACTCTTAGTACAAGTTCTACGTTTAGTGGATGCCGAGAAGAAACCAGCCATGGGTTTTATTTATAATGATATGGATGAGGCAAAGGAGTTGATTGCACATAACTTGGGAGGAGAGGAGGCAAGTTATAGAGAGATTTGGGATATCTTGATGCTTGGTGGGAGGTATAGTTACACCGTCATCTGCATGCAGCGGCATATTATCTCAATCCTCAATTTCAATATTCAAAGAGGAAATCTTCAAACTCGGAGGTGAAGCTTGGCTTGTATCATTGCATGGAATGACTAATATAGGAGCAGATAGATAGGGAGCTTGCAGATTTACAACTTGTTCTATTTCGGAATGACAAAATCAACTATTGCCAAATAGTCTCCAGGTATACTTATTTTGGTAAATGCAAAACACTTTATTATGTTCTGATTATCATTTTTCTTCTTAAAAACAGTTGAATGATGGATTCAATTTGGTGATTCCACCCCTGAGTTATAGAGTTTTGTTGTCAAAGTTTTGGGCCTCACTTGTTCTTCTTCTGGGTGTGAGCGAAACTGGAGTACATATAGTCAAGTGCAAACAAAGAGAAGAAATCGACTTTCAACACTCAGAATGAACTCCCTTGTGTATATTATGCACAATAAGAGGTTAAGAGAAAGAAGATTGAGGAATAAGGGGTTGAATGATGATGAGGACCCGTTGGTGTGTGATGATGTGTCATCTGATAATGAGTGGTTCATAAATGATAAAACAGATTTGTCATTATCAGACTTACAGCTAAAAGATCTAAGTGTAGATGTCTTGACGGGCGAAGCAAATCAAGTGGGCACACCCACTAGTACCACACCACACACATCCACTAGCTCTGCATCACAACAACCAAATAAAGGTATTCCACAACTTCTTATATGCTATTGTTGTATTGCATTATATTTATATCAAGTGAGTCATTAACATGATAAAGACCATTCTTATTGAACAGGGAAGAGAAAAATGAGTCACATTGAAGATGATGAAGATATGACATTCATAGATACAATTGGAGAAAAAGATTCCTTTGAAAACCCATTTAGTAATGTGATATGATTGGATTTTATATGTTCCTTCTGAATTGTACTTTGGAAAGTTGATAGACTATAATTTTGTGATTTTGTACTTTGGAACATAATTTTATTGCATCTTTTTTCTTAATTTCCACTAATTCCACTTGTCATTTAGCCGTTTTTATTGTATGATAGAATCTTGTTATTATTTAGCTGCTAAAACAATTAAATTCTCATTTACGCAATTTTGCGTCCGTGAGACTTACGCCTCACACCGCCTCGAGGCTTACGCCTCGCCTCACGGACGAAAACCACCTCGGCTTATTTACGCAATTTTAAACTTTAGTTATATGATACTTTTATGCAGTTTCTATATTTAATATTTTTTTGCTCATGTAATATTGTATTTCAATTATGTTTCATACGTACAATTTATCACTAGCCACTCTATGTCATGTTCAATTTTTTGTTTCATATATATGTCAAATTGTCAATATGTTACTTCATAGTTCAATAGAAAAACAAAATGTCATCTTTTAACATATTATTTGGGTATTATATAAATAAATACTTTTAACATTTATTTGCACATTACGTAATTTGTTATTTTGAGGCTCAGCCTCAAAACGCCTTGAGGCTTACTCCTCTCTTCACAAACAAAAAACGCTTCAATACCCAATTGCGTAATTTTGAACATTGATTGCATCCCCAATCAGTACCATTAAGGGGTGTACTTCATCAATCAATCATGCACATATGTATATAATCATTTCATTCATTTATTATTCAATAACTTCCTATAGTGCATATAATGAATAATCATGCTAATTATCAATCAATTCAATATGACCATTCAAAAGAAAGAAATATTAAAATTTTACAAAAATCATTAACTAATCAATATCAAATAATTCAATGAAATTGAATTAAAAAAACATCATTACTATAAAATTGAAGCATTAGTACTCACCTCGAATAGAATCTCTTAACAATTTTGCTTTAATCACCGCCTCGCTGTCAATAGCTTAATACCTATAATTACATTATACTTCAGAATAATCTCTAATTAATATTTTAGATTTTCCATTAAAATTATTTTTTTAATTTATAATAATCTTATGACTCAATGTTTCATGAATCAATTTATCTAATATCATTTTCTTACCTACTTATAAAACTAATATTGATTAATAATAACTTAAATGAAATCATAAATGATTTCTTTAAAACTAACATTCCCCTTCGTCTTCAATTTGCCCGACAATTGCCCGCTCTTGCTCAAGTTCGGTCACAGGTATCTTTTTTCTCCCACTCATTTCCTTTCTCTTTCTCTCTATTTTCTTGTCTTTCTTCCTCCTCTCGGTCATTGTTTTTCTCTCGGCTCTTGCTTTCATTCGCTCGATTGATTCCATTGGAATGAATGAATCGTAGTTATCTTCCACGAGGAGTCATTGCTTTCGTTTCTAAACACTACTTCGCTTGCTCGCTCCATCGAAACTGTCAATTGTGCCCGCCCACTCTTAAATTAGGGCCAGTTCAGTTCACAGTTCAACTGAACTGGCAAAACCGGTTCTTACATAAATGATCAACCACTTAAGGTTCACAATCAAGCCTTATATGTTTGCTAAAAGGCTTCCATGGCCACTGTTACACCCACAGCATGCAGATTGTTTATCGTCATAAATCTATATCCAGTATCAATTGATATTTGGCGCTAAAATTAGTCCAAACACATAAAATTAACGCTACACAAAAAATAAAGAGTTATGGTAAAAAATGCAAAAAGATAGAATCTTACAAATAACACATAATATTTTATTCCTTACAAAACTACCGAATGGCAACAAAACTACCGCATTACCAGTTCTCTTTTAGTATCAGAGCTTGTGTTCACAACCCTACACCAAACTCAGTGGAGCATCAGCCTTCAATCCAAAACCGCATCTCACCTCATGACTTTTTTTTTTTTGGCTATCTTCATGCTTGTAATTAAACCTTTTTCTACTTCATACCTTTTTTTTCTAATAAGAAGGGCCCCTTCACACCCAGCCTTTTCATTGAAATTAATATTTATATATATGACGATCATTTGCAGGGAGTCATAAGTCAAAACTCAAACTATGTGGGCCAATAAATAAAATGATCAAGCCAAAGGGGCCTACAAAATTTTGAACTTTTGAAAAATTTTGAAGAATTGGTAAATAAACAAGCATAACAGACTATAATTTCAAGCATACTAAACTCCAAAAATTTTCATCAATGCACACCCCAGCACTATCGTTTAGTCATCAATAAAGAAGCAAGATAAAGAACGTAAATTAAGAACCAGTAGCAGATACAAATTTACATATTTCAAACATAACTGGTAGTGAAGAAGACAGAATATGCACATATAAAAAAGCTTTTAAGATTTCAAAAACTCATTGCTGCAAAGGATATAGTAGCATGCATTGCCCCAATGTCAGAAGCTGAAAGTAATACAGACAGCAGACCACAAAAGATCCTCCATTAATGCTATCAAGACAAGGCACGAATTTGGGCATATAAACTTAAGTGCCCTCGGTCTGTTATACCTTCACCAGAAGCTATCAATGAGAGTGCATGAGCAGGAGACAAAACGACTTCTTCTTTAATTCCTTCCACGTAAGTTCCCTGCAAAGCATATTCCCCTGCACTAATTAAAACCAAACCCTGAAAATAATATTAACGGGTGGCAATACATTATAACACAAATCATAACTCCAGTGGTAAAGATGACAAACCGAAACATGTTGGTAGGGAAATAGAATATTTTAAAAGCATCATGGTAAATATGGATTTGATTGAAACTTCTAATGAAAGCGGTATAACCATATTAAATTTTGACCTAGCTTATAATTTTGTAATTATTAATACTTTATTTAAGAGAAGAGAGGAGCATTTCATCATTTATAAGAATAGACATAGTAAAACTCAAATGAATTATTTTCTTATAAAATAAATAAATTGTTTATACTACAAAGACCGCAAAGTCATTACAAGTGAAAATTTATATACCCAACATCGCTTGTTAGTATTAGATTTTAAGATGAAGGGGCATAAAATAAAAAATAAACTACAATATTACCTTATTATTATATGGGGGTATTTAGAGAATACTAAAAAATATATTTTTGAGGGTAAGTTGTTCATGAGAAAGCTGATGTAATGTGAAAAAAAAAAAATATTAGCTAGTGAAATAAAGAATGTTACAAAGTATATTTGTTTGGAGAATCACTAGGAAAATATCTTAATAGTAAAAATAGTGGATAATGAAATTAAAATGTACAAGAAAAGAAAAAATAAAAGAAGTTTTATTATAAAAATTAGTTTAGAAAGAAAAATTTAGAAAATTAGGATATATAGAGAGAGGATCGTAGAAACTCTAAGAAAATACTATATTATGCAAAGAATATAACTTTTTGTAATTTATATAATAGATAAAATACCATAGAGGTTAAAAGATATGTGTAAAATTTAGTTAAGTAAAGAGACGGGAGAATTTATGGGTATCAATATTTAACACGACCCAAAAACCCGACCTAAAAATTCTGTGATGAGGACATCGTCAGCATTTTCGACACGTGTACCATCAGGAGACGCCGGAGATCAACGGCTACGATCATGAGTTTATTTTGAGTCATTTTATGTAGTTGTTTATTTGATTTTTGTGTTTTTTTTTTTTTCCGTTTTTGCCCTTATGGGTGGTTAGTTGCTATTGTAGCCCAAGGGGCATTTTAGTCTTTTGTTTTTCTTTGTCATTGTGAGGCCTATTTATATGGCCCTTCTCTTGTAATAGTTTAGTTTTTGGATGAATGAAAAAATATTTGCCACTTAATGATCTCTTTGTGAGTTCACCCTCCTCGATCTCTTAGTGAGTTCGTAGGAGAAGCCAGATCTCTTTGTGAGTTCTAGATCTTCTTGTTCTACCATTTTTCTTTCTTTTATTTCTTGTGATCGATTTGTCGTCGTGGAGATCCGGTTGAAGCACTCGTGGGAAATTGGAATTCGCTCCTTGAATTCCTATATTTTTTCCATACTTCTCCTCCCCTTGCTCTTGCCGCCGCCTCCTCCAAACAACCCCAAGCCGTCGGCCTCTTGGCACCCTACCTCCATCTTCCGCCGGCCAGATCAGCCACAGCCGGCCCACCAGCCGTCGGCATCCCTCCGGCCAGCCTCCAGCCGGCCAGCCGGCAGGACAGCCCCTTTTCCGCGCCTCTCCCCTCTTGAATTCCCAGTGTTTGAATTTCAAACCTTGTTTAAACACTTTCCTAATTGGCTCCTTTTCATTATGGGAGCTCATTAATGAAATTAAATCCTCATTTGAATTTCAAATTTGCTCCCCCTCTTATTTTAAATTGTGGGAAGTTACTTAAGCCACAATTAAATCTGAAATTAAAATTCATATTTAATTGAATTTTCTTACTTATAAACTTTGGGCCCCACTTCTCATACTCCTAAATCTCTCTCTCTCCTCTCATTTGGGCCGGCCACTCTTAGTGGGCCTCTTTCTCCTCTTCCAAATGACATATTAAACCACCACAAATTCAGCCCAAAGCTTCTCCCATTGCCGCCTCTCTCTCCTCTCCTTGGATAATTTGAAATTCAAATTAAACCCCTCTCCTAAACCACTAAAATCTGAACTATTTCAGATTTCCTGCATTTGCCTCTTAGCCCCCACCATAGCCGTCAAGGAAAAAGGATAAAGCGTTAGATGCTACATATCATCCCAGTGGACTATCCCACCGGCTATCGCTCCAACGGACTCGCTTTTGTGCGCCATTTTCTCCTATGTGCATCGCTCGGTTGCTCTGCAATCTTCCCCTCCATTAAAAGTGCACACAAGAGATGGAGTGACGAGACCCAAGGTGAAAGTTCTATTTTAATTGTGGATTATGTTTCATCCCATAGCCATTACTCTTTAATTCTATGCTGTCAATTTGTATTGTCCGTTAATCTGTTTTAACCGCATGCCTTACTTAATCTCAATTGATAATCTGAAAACCTAACTTGGGTAAGCATTACATTCCTATACCTGCAAAGCTTTAAAACTATGATTAAAATCTCCAAGCAGTTCTTGTTTCCATCGCATGTTGTTTCACATCAGTCGGGTTCAGGTTTTATATTCTGATCTAACTGTAATTATAGGTCAGGTATGGGTCAACTCGAAAAACCGAAAGCAACCCGAAACTCGTCCATCGTGCTCCTCGTGCGCATCCGTCACGTTCGCGCTTGCCCCCTCGCAAACGCCCGCTCGCTAGATCAAGCTCCCTCGTCGACTTGACCGCCCGCACTCAGACACCCATCGCACTTAACCGAATCAACGGGTCGAGTCGTTTCAAGTTGGGTTGGAGCCGAGTCAGATTCAGGTCCAAGCTTATGACCTATTTAACTAATCGGATCTTGTACAATTCAGGTTGGGCTGGACCCAAACCCAACCAGAATACCCATTTTGACACCCTTAAGAGAAATAAGGATTTAGTTCAAGTGAAATGCATCAAAGATGAATCTTAAAATGTGATTTTCAAAGAAAAGGATAATCCACATAGGTGGATAAGATATTTCAATGAAGGTTGTGATATTAGGATTAACTTTAATGACCATAGCATCCTAAATGAAAATAGTTTTCTATTTTTATTATCTTATTCATAAAATCAAAGTTAGAGAGGGTTCAAAGAAAATGAAGTTGGGAAAAACTACAGGACCTAATGATAATCCAATAGAAGTATGAAAATACATAAAAGATTAAGGGATTTCTTAGCTTACCAATTTTTTTAATATTGTTTTAAAAACTAAAAAGATGTTAGATGACAGCATAAGTGTTTTGATTCATATTTTTAACAATACTGACGATGCACAAAAGTGTGTGAATTATAGAAGAATGTTGACCGATCCAGCCGGTCCATACAGGACCGACTCATGGAGACAAAGGCAAAAGAGTTTTGCGCTCGAACTGCAGGAGCAAACACAACAGTTTAGAAAGGATTTTCGAGGGAGTTAGGAGGAAAATTTCGAAGTATGGGCTGTTTAGATATTTTCTTTTGAATTTTATGTATTAAGGAGTATGTTTTGCTAGGGTTAGGACATCTTGAATTTGGTTGAAATTTGAGATTATTTAGGTTTTTGGGCTCTAGCGGCGTCTAGAGATTTGGGAGAGATAGATCCTCCTCTCGAATAGAGGATCAATTGAATCTTGTTATTTTTCTTCTGTTAGTTTCATTATTGCAATAAAAACCACAGTTTTCTGATTTTTTCCATTATATTTATGGAACGTTCTCGTTATTTTTGTCAAGAACATTAGGGTTTACTTGTGAACTTCAAGTATTGTCTAACAAATTGGCATCAGAGCAATTTCCTGGTCGGAAATAAAAGTCTCCTTCCTAATTTTTGCTGCATTTTCGCTCCAATCCTATTGTTTTTTGCTGTTTGAAGACCAGACCCGTTGTTTTTTGGCCGTTTTTGCTGTTTGGAGCCAAGATCGGGGTACCCATGACAGAGAAAAAGGTAGAAGTGTTGGAAGGAGATATCGGACAAATGAAATATGAAATTTTAGATCTCCAAATGCAAGTTTCATATTTAAAGAAACATATTTCAGTCATCCAAATCCATGAGAAGATTGATTCAAATTTTTCCATTTTGGGGGAGATGTTGAAGAAAGTGCTCTTGGGCCAAACCAAAATATCGGCGTCGACGATAAGGGAAGGAACCAACAGCCATGGATGTGGGAAAAGCCCTAAGCCAATCAGACGAAGAGAAGATCAAGAGGTAGAGATTTTGGAGGCAACATAAAAAATGCCTCCCTTAGTGCCTAGTCCTAGGTAGGAGTTGGGTAGAGGTTATGAGGAGAGGTGGAAGAAGGTACGGAATGGTCGAAAAGGTGCTGATTTAAAGAGGAGGGGGGCAGGATTGAAAGGGAAAGGGGTAATTATGACCAAAGGAGGGCTGAATTTGAAAGGGGAGGGGTTTGTTATGATCCACGGGGTGCTAAATTTGAAAGGATAATGTGAGAATTTGATGAAAGACTTGGGTATGAACGTAGAAGGAATGATTGGGACACTTGGGGGGAACCACACCCTTGGGGAATGGAAAATTATGAAGGGAACATAGGGAACGGAGTCAATCTGAGAATGAGGCAACTAACATACAGTGAACTAACAAAAGTATTGCAAAATAGAAGAACGGGCAAGCAGAAACAAACCCCAGCTGCTCATCACAAACTACCAAAACCAACCTGCGAATCTTCTCTTATTCGAAGGTTCTGTCCAGCCGGATCAAGCAAGTCATTGATAACCTGAAAAAAAAAAATTAATAAAAATCAGTTACAAAGGTTGCAAGATACACGCTTGTTTAACTGACAATCTAACAGGAAGATTTCATTCTCAAAAACAGATGGTATCCAATATTTTGATGATGTGAAACAAACCCAAAATCAAAACTATAATGCAAGTTGTCAAAATATAAAAAAAAAATAAACTAACAGGCTGGGTATGAAGAAAGGTGAAACGGCCATATAAAATCATTACATACAAAAGAAAGGAGATCTAAATATAGATTAAGCCAGATATATAGCAAAGAAAATAAGAACATAGTTAAAAAGAAGGCATAAACAAAAAAATGAACATGTCGCTTCAAAAAATCATTAAATTACAATTCTGATGAAGAAAATTTTGTAAAAAAACTAAAAGAACATTATCATAAACTATATAAAGATTGATTAAAAAACACAAGTTTAGTTTGCTCTTAAAAAAAGATGAAGGTAAGGTTTTAGGCCAATATAACATACCTCTTAGTATTTGGAAAATTATTGAAGAGGTTCGAATAGACAAGGTAACAAAAAATTTAAAATTTTAATGACTAATAGAATGCCAAATGACAACAGAATAAAGTATTTCATAATAATATTTAAAAACAAAAGAGATGCTAAAAATTATAGTTACAAGGGAATCAAAGCTATAACTCATAAAATAGAATTCTATAAGTAATAAAATAAAGGATAAACTTTTAAAAAAAAATGATTACAAGTTTTTTTTACGTAAAACAGAAACCAAAAAAAAAATATTTTAAAGCAATGTTAGTCATTTGCTCAGGCGACAACTGGATTTGACATGACGCAGGAAGAGATGTGACGTGGCAAGGAAATATTCCATGGCGAGGAGAAGCAAGAGATGTGACGTGGTGAGGAGTGTTATAACTCAAAAAATGGAAAATCCCAAAAATATGGCATCATTTCTGGAAGAATGCGAGCAACATGATCCTAATGTCCCACTCCCGTTGGACAGCTGGATTCCTACAGAAGGTGACTCAACGGATCCACTTCAAGATCGTCTCTACAAACTGCAATATAACATGTTCCTATGTGATCAGAAATTCGAAAAATACAAAAGTTATCTACAACAGCAATTTGAAAAAGAACAAGAAGAGATTCTAAAAAGATTTGGCGAAAAACTCGAAGAACTTGATGATCTGTATGCACCGCCTCCAGGAAATCAACAACAGATAATTCATCAGGAGCTGAATTCGCAAGTAGGGGAGTCTGATGTAGACAAAGGGGGGGTCAACTCAAGTTGAGTTTTTTTTGTAATTTCTTGCCTGGTGTCTTTTCATATTTCCCCTCTCCTTTTTGTCTTTTGGATGTTTGCTGATTTCATGAGGGCATTAGCTGTTTCGGTTTGAGCTTAAGTAGTTGAAACATTAGTTGTGCAAGCTCATTAATATCTAGTAGAAGTGTAGCTCATTATGAGCTGATGTTTAGTTATAAAATTAATGTTTGGGAGCTAGATTAGATGAGTGGATTTTGTTCTTTCATATTCTTCTTGGTTTGGGGCTGCTGCAGTTTTTTTTCTCTGGAAATTTCCTCTCACAGGCTGCTGCTCTTCGGGTTTGTCACTGCCTCTTCGGGTGGCTGCCTTCTTTACCGCTCTGGCTCCTCTTTTTGACCGTGAATTAATTCCCTGATTTGCCTCCTGGTTTCCTGTGCTGAAACCGTGGCTTCTGCTGGCTGGTTCCGTGGCTTTATTCATTGGATTTTGGCTATGTCTCTTGGGATTTCAGCAAGAAAAAACTTATGGCTTTTGGCTTTCCTTTTCTTCAGTTTTTGGGGACTGTCTTGGGAGGAATTCCAGGAGGTATTTTATGTTTTCTATGCAGTTTTTCTACTGCAGTTTTTGTGTCTTTTAATCTTCTTCTAGGTGTCTTTTAACCTTCCATATTCCCTAATATTTGGGCTGTTTGGCTGCCCTTTTTGTGCCTATAAATATTGATGTTTGTGGCTGTTTTTTATATGAAATGTGAGTGATTTTTGGAGACAAAACCTAAGAGGTTTTCTTGGAAAAAGCTTGAGAGCTTTGTTACATTTCTTCTTCTTCTTCTATGGAAATCCTGCGGGCTCTTTCCACCATTCTTCTTGGCTTCTAATCTCTTTCTTCTCGCCGCATGTATCCACCCCACATGTATCTTTCTTCTCAAGGCAAAGCTTCTTTAGGTGTCTTGTTGTGTTTGTCTTTATTGATTTATGCAATAGTATTTTCTTGGCTCCAAAGCCTTTCCAAAGTTGTCTAGACTTGCAGTAGGACTTTGTTTTATACATTTTGATTCATTGAATAAAATTATTTTTGTTTGTGTAATTTTAATATTGAAAGGCTTAGTGGCCGCTTTTTGGTAAAACTTGGGGGCTAATTCTCAGAGCTTTTTTGAGTCATTAATTATCTTTTCTCTCGATGCAAATTTCATCTCCTTTGTAAAACCCACCTTTGATTTTATATGTCACATTTGCCATAATTTGAAATGCTGCAAAATCTCAACTTTTATGAATTTTAACAAATTGTATGTCATTGAGTTCTACTCATTAAATGGAGCATTTTGATATATAGCATCATATGTCTAAATGTGAATGATTTGAGAGTTAGAGAATTAAATTTAAATTGCATTTTTCTTCCTTAGTTAAGAAATTGGATTATTATTTAAAAATAAAATCACCGTAGAAAGGGCAAAAATTTTTAAAAGGTGTTTTGCTTGCAAAGGTTCGGCAAGGGGTAATTAAGGCAATTCATTGTCCTTAGAGTATTTTATTGCCACTTCATTACAAACCAGCGTGGGATGAAGAGCTGGAAGCCGCATGAGTAGCTGGAATGGGGACTCGCCGAAGGAGGTGGGAGCTTTTGGTAGGAGTAGGAGTGGTTAGAGCAAGTGTTGAAGGTAAATGCCTTGTGAGTTCTCAGGTTAGTGCAGATTTTGGTGCTAAGTTATTGGCTGTTGGAGCTGGTTGGTGTCAGGGCTGGAGCTAGTTGTTGGGTGGGCTAGCCGTTTGCGTATGCGTGTGCTGGCCGAGGGTCTGTTGGAGAGGTAGGAGTGGGTTAGAGACTGACCAAGGGCTGCTAGAGAGCTGTTCGAGGATTGTTGAGTGCTATGCACCATAGGGGCAGGCTTAGGAAGAGCATTAGGAAGCTTGGGCCGAACTCGGAGAAGAGCGAGGAGAAAGAAGGAAGAAAATCAGTGGAGGAGAGAAAGAAATAGGAGATAACATGCCTTTAGGAAAAGAAAGTTACAGTGTTGTATATTTAACATTTCTAATTTTGGAAGTGTTTTGTTATTGATTATGATATTCATAATTCGGAAAGAGTGAATGGCTATAGTCGTGTATGCGACATGAAAATTGGAAGGTATAATTGAGAACCAATTTACTTGTATGAGGTGAATGGTAATTGGTGTGAATTATCAATTAATGATTTGGATTGATAGGTGTCCTACACACAAGAAGGCACAAGGGGTCTGACTAGGTCAGCCTTTGACTCAAGAAGGTAATATATGGTTTTTATTATGTAGCAAATTAGTTTGTGTGACATTTACTCTTGAACTCTTATGTGATTGTTATTATTCGCCTAAATTGTGGTTTATACAGCCATTGTACATGTCATTCCTTATGTTCTGTGAATATGTATATACACTATCACATGTAATCCTGTTAAAATATGATATATGTATTATACAACTATGCTTGCTTATATATTGATATAAATTTCAATCGTATTTATCTATATGCATGTATACATGTAGACATACATATAAGTAACACATATCTGGTGGTTGTAAGAATAAAAGAAATAGTCGTGATTAAATAAGTTAAGATAATGTCATGTTAGAAGATAGGTAGATGGGGCAATGCCACCTAGTAGAGTGTGACCTCAGTATAATGAAGCCTACAAGTTATGGGACCTACAGTTAGTAGAGCCTAAGGGCTAAAAACCCTAAACCTAGACATCTATACATGACATTTTTTGGGTTGAAAAAGGAAGTTATGAAATGAGCGGAAATCGATAACTATTAACTATATGTTTTGATAGTATGAATTATAGATCACATACAACTACAACTGATTTAAGTGATACTATTAATGTTATACAATAGGTAATTTAATTTGTAATTCAAGCAAGCATCATTCTTATATATTATATGGTAGGACCCTATATATTATTCTATATTACTTTTATTGTAAACTTTGGTAGCTTATACATGCTTTTTATATGTATATGTTGATTTACCTACTGATGCTCATATTCATTAGTGAATTATTACACTTGATTACTACATTAGAGTTGCATATTTTTATGGGTGTTGTAGCTCGCTAGATTATTATTCTAAATGTTATTACAGGAAAAAGAAAGAATAAGGTTGAGCCAAAATAGAACATGTTCAGTTTTTATTTTATGTTTAGGTTTGTCAATGCAAGAAGAGTTTGATATGAGGTTAATAATATGTTCATGGCTACATGTTTTGGGTTCCTCCTGTAGTTGCTCTGTAAATGAAAATTTTGGAAATAAAAAAATTTTGGGTAGCTTCCGCTTTTGAATGATGGTTTGAACAATGATATTATTTTGTGCTTCATTTAGATGTCATAATTTTTTTTATTAAATTGAAGATTAAAATAATGCATTTTAGGGGTGTGACATCCTATACATAACCTTGAGCCTAGCTTTGCTCAACCCCAAAATCCATCCAATCCCTTCAAAATTCTCCCAAATATTCCCACACATTCCTCATAACATTCAAAGGCTCCAACTCCCTAATAATATTAAGATATCATAACCAAAATCTTAATATAGAGAAATAATTTTCTAATGTGAGTAATCAGATTAAAAATATCATAACTCCTTAACCACTAATTCAAAATCTATAAAAACACTACCATTAATTCTCTAATATCCAAACCTTTAATCTTGAGTTTCTCTTTATTTATTTCCATGGAAAATTTATCTTTTGATAGCTTTAAAGTTTCAGTGCCAAATATATCCAAAATCTAAGTTCTTATTTTACCATCACTCAAATAATCCTTCCAATAATATATATATATATATATAAAGAAAATCACTATATTAAAATACAACTAGGTGCTAAAGTTCCATTTTCTTCTTCCATTTTGGTTGATGCCTTAATACTCCACATAAGGAGTATTTATAAATCCTAAGAACTATTATCCAATAAAATATCTAATCACCACCTAATATCCACTAGGTCACTTATTATATTTACTCCTAACATTAGTCATCCCTTCACAATGATCTTATCCTAAAGGTCAAGCAAATTATTGTGAGATTGAGTGGAGGCGGTTCTTTTTGGTGCCTTTGAACCCTAACGATTGATGGATAAACAAATCTAGCTGGAGAAACATGACATTTGGTGAACTCTGAGTTTGGATCTAGGTGGAGATGTTGAGGCAAGGCTTGTAGGGGAAAATGGTGAATGAAGAAGTAGCGATGGTGATCTTGGATTTGAATGGTGGAGGAAGTGGATAACTAGGGTTGGTGTTGGATTTGATGAGAGTGGAGATCGGATATGATGTAGTTGATTGGCACAAGGGCTAGCATGGCGGGGATGGTCGAAAGGGGATCACAATGGAAGTGGCGAATGTTGGAGAACGAAACAAGATTCGGTCAAAAGTAGAGGCGTTCATGACTGTGATAGTGTAATTGCCTATTATCACCCAAGTGGTGGATTCAATAGCGGCAAGGCCCAAGGAGAGCACCATTTATATGAACCCAAGTAGAAATTTATTGAAAAACAGAGAATAACATTATACTAAAAGATAACTCGGCAATTTGTAGGCTTACCTAAAACTCCAAGCAGAGAGGAGAAGGGATTTGGGAATTATAACTATTATAGGATGCCAGTAATTCCAGTTAGCTTCTTCTTACATTCTAGTTGATTCCCTAATACTTTACATTAGCAGTATTTATAGATCCTAAGGACTCCTATTACCCAATAAGACACCTAATTACTACCTAATATCCAATAGATCACTTAATATATGTAGTATTTATAGATCCCAAGGCCTTCTCCAACCGAACTCCAAACATATAAATGGCGTCCCTCGTGAGCTCCACCCGAACGACAAAACTACTGGTATTTGGTTGCGTGTGAACAGTGCGACACCAACTATTTTTCTGTCTCAACCGGATTTGTCGAAGAAATACACGAAGGAGAAAGACAGTAACCTGGGCACAAAATGGAGTTCTTTTTTTTTTTTTGAACAAAGCCGTAAAAAGGCATTTATTAACTAGGTAAAAAAATTACAACTGCTTTCCTAAGGAGGTCTAAAAGCATCATCCTTAAGGATATTAACAAAGTCATCTAAAGAAATAAAATCTTGCTCTTGTCTCCATAAAAAGGAGGAAGAAAGAGCATGCTTCGCACAAAAATCAGCAGCCCTATTAAACCTTCTAGGCATATAGTTGAAAATTACATGATTAAAATCTTTAACAAAAGAAAGATCAAAATCCAAAGAATTGCACCTCCATTTGCCGAGCTGAACATTCTTATGAAGCCACTCCATATTTGATTTGTTATCCCCTTCAATGATGATGCCCATAGCACCTATCATGTCTTCATTAAGTACTTTCTTCAACAGATTGATAGCTTGAAGCTCAATGTAAGCAACATCCCAATGCCTTACTTGGTTATCGGCTGCTACCAGAACTTTTCCCGCGGCGTCACAAACAATGATTCCAATACCAGCATAATACGGTTT